CAACGAAATTCTAAGATTAGAGAATTTAAGTAGCTCAAGGTTGAACTGCAGAATCCTTGGTTCTTGTTTGCTTACAAATGTTTCTTTACTCCAATAGATAACATCATCACTGCCTGTGAGTGTGGGGTTTGCTCCCCCTCCCATTCTGTCAGTGTTAGTGGGGTATGGTTTTCTGCTTGGTAGTTCGTTGATTAGGGTATTGTTTTCTGCTTGATTCTTTATCCATCTAATATAATTCCAGTTTATCTGTGCATTTATGCTGAAAATGATGTATTTTGTTTGTTTCCTTCTTAGTTTTTTATTGCCTCTTCTGAACAGTGTGTAAATATTGTTTATTTCCATGTGTCTAATTCCTTGGCATTTTGGATTTGCCTTGGTGTAGGATGATTCAGTATGCCATTTGCAGTGAGATGAAGGAGTTTTCACTGTGTATTCAGGCTGCTAGTTGGTATTCATGGATGGGCTCTGCTAATTCTCTGCCTATCTGTCCTGCATAGTGGCTGATACAGTCCTTACACTGTATGTTGTAGATGACATCTGTTTTTTCTCTCCACCTTCTGGGATTACTGGGACTTTGGTCTTAATGAAATTTGTTAGGATCACCATGCATCCTATTGTTTTACTTGAAAATTGTTTTACTTAATTATTAAATTAAAAATGAAACTTTCTTTCTTGTCAAAGAACACTGATGGAGTGTGGATAGAGATGGGAAGAAATATGTTCAAGTTGTGTTTTAATGTAAACCAACCTAATTTGTACCCGCAGAGTTACTGTTTTCCTCTGGATCACAATTATCCATTTATTCAGCACTTCTCCAAACTCTGTAATGCAGTTAAATGATGAAAAAAAATGCTTCCGAAATGGATGTCAGGAAAATTGTATTAAAAGTGATTACGCTGTAGAAAATAGAATTCACACAGAACATGAATGATGATTATTATTGTAATCTAGACTTATCTTTTTTCTGAAAAAACAAATACTTGATCTGTTGCTGGAATGATCCTATTTATGCTGGAATAAAGCCCATGAAAATCTGGAAAGGAAATGCTTTAATAACACATATGTCACTGTGTAATCCATTTATTACTTAAATAAATACAGATTGGTTTCTATGCAGTTGCTAGGATATAATATTTCTGGAACTAAGTGCACCAATTCCATTGTGATGTTCATTCCTGAAACACTATTGCCCCCTGGCTGTGAAAAGTGGGCAATGCATACAAATAAAATATCTCTGCATTGACTTTCTTTCTTTCCTATTCTTAATTCTTTCTATAATTCTTTCAAGTACAGTTCAGGGATTACTAATTCTGCTGTCACAGGAAATGTGCACACTTTTCCCCAGAATCTGTGACAAATCTGAAAATAATTCAAACGTGTAAGTGCAATGACAAGGTTTTTTTGGTCTGATAATCAAACATGATTCTTGATTTTTTTTAAATATTTTTTTTAAAAAAACAAATAAAGAAACTAAAACAAATAAATAGAATTTAAAATATTTTTCATTAAAAGCTAAAAACAAAATGCCATAAAACTTTGTTCTGGGTTATTTCTAATTTTGTTCTGGGACTTCAACTACCTTAGTTCTAGATGGGGTTACACTATGGCAGACTGACCCTTTGGGGCTGTCCTGGATTTGCGACTCCTGCTGAAAAAGCAGGTGTCAATAATGCTAGGAGAATCTTTGTACAACTTTGTGTTGTGCGTCAGTTGTGGCCTTTCTGGAATCAGAAGTCCTTGTGCTTCGTCATTCAAACCCTGGTTATCTCACTTTTGGACTACTGCAATGAGGTGTACATGGGGCTACTCTTAAAGAACATTCAGAGGCTTCAACTGGTGCAGAGTGTGGCAGAGCAGGCAGTTCTTGATAGCCCTAGGGTTGCCATTGTTATACCACTGCTCTGCAAGCTGTACTAGCTGGTGGGTTGCTTCCAGATACAATTCATAATATTAGTTATTACCTTTAAAATCCAGCATGACATGGATCAGATTATTTGAGGAAACATCTCACCCCAATGGACTGACTTACTCCACCTGAGCCAGCAGAAGAGGCATGCTACAGGTCCTATCAGTCAAGGAATTTAGACTGGCAGGATCCAAGAAAAGATCTTTCTTTGTTGTGGTCCCTGCCCTTTGAAATATCTTATCCTCTGAGGTGAGATTGACTCTCATCCTTTTGACCTTCTATAAGGGCCAAATAACTGGCTGTGCCAGATAACTTGTGGCCCCAGTGGGGGAACATTAGACTGCATGTGGTTGTTGAATTAAGAGACATCCCACCTCCCTCTCCCATGCATCCTGCTTCCTCCATCCTCATCTTTTAACTAAAATGTTATCTTTGACTGTAATTCTATTTTTATCATTTTAGGAAATAATTCTCTTATGATTTTAATGCTTTTAATGTTGTAAGGCTCCCAGAGTCTCTTTGAAATATGATGGGAGGCAAATAAATTTAGTAAAATAAATAAATAAATATGATTGACAGAATAACAGAGCTGGAAAGGACCTTGGAAGTATTCTAGTTCAACCCTGTGCTCAAGAAGGAAACTATACCATTCCAGACAAATGGTGTCCAATCTCTTCTTAAAAACCTCCAGTTACAACTTCTGAAGGCAAGCCTCTTCCATTGATTAATTTTTCTCACTGTCAGGAAATTTCTTTTTAGTTTTAGCTTGGATCTCTTCTTGAGAAGTTTCTATTCATTTCTTCTTCTCCTATTGCAGGTGCTTTGGAGATAGGTTGATGCTCTTTGTAACAGATTCATATCATCCCTAGTCCTTCTTTTTGTTAGACTAAGTCTAATAAAACTACATACCAAGTCCTTGCAACTATTCTTCATATATTTTAGCCCTTCATTATCTTTGTTTCTCTCTTTCTAGAGCCTTAACATCTTTTTATACCATGCTGACCAAAACTACTAAGTATTCTAAATGTGGTTTTATCAAAGCAGTATAAAAGTGATACTAACACTTCATGTGATTTTGATTCTATCCTGTTGATACAGTCTGTGACTGTATTTTTGGTAGCTGCAGCAAACTGGTGACTCATATTTAAATGGTTGTCCACGAAGACTCCTAGATTTGTCTCACTATTAAGCCAGATACCTTCTATTCTATACCCATGTATGAATTTTTTATTGCTTAAAAACCTCACTTTTCTGACCACTGAATTGCTTTTGTTGGAAAGGGCCAATATTCAACTTGGTCAAGATCTTCCTGGCTCTTGATCTCATCTTCTGAAGTGTTGGGTATTCCACACAGCTTGTTGTCATCTGCAAATTTGAGGAGTTCTCCTTCTATCCCTTCATCTAAATTGTTTATGAATATGTTGAAGAGTATTGGGCCTAAGATAGTACTTTGGATACCCCACTCCATATAAATGTAGTTCCATTAAGATATGTGCTTCAGTAATTACAAATTCATCTAGTGATGAGATGATATTTAAGCCACATGTTTCTCTCTTAGCAAGTAGTAGGTTGTGTTCTACTTTGTCAAATGTCCAATGAAGTCCAAGTATACTATGTCCACAGCATTTCACTGATACACTAATTTAGTCACTTTATCAAAGAATGCAATAAGATTTGTCTGCCATGATCTGTTTTTGACAAATCCATGTTGATTTCTAATAACAACTTTGCTTGCTTCAAGGTGTGCACAGATTTTGTTGCTTGATTAGCTTTTCCAGGATCTTTCCAGGTGTTGATGTGAGGTCTGTAGCTTTCTGGATCCCCTTTTTGGGAGACGGGAATAATGTCAGCTCTTTTCCCATCGTCTAGTAACTCCCCAGTGCTCCAGGATGTTTGAAAGGTATGATTCAGTGGTTTCAGGATCACATCCACCAGCTTGTTCAGAATTCTGGGCTGTAATCCATCTGATCTTTGTGATTTGAATTTGTCTAGAGTGGATAGGTAGTGTATTACTGTTTTATTGTCTATTTTGGCTTGTATTCTATTTGTTGAGATGGGTTAAGGAATGTTACATTCTAGTCTTGAATTCTGATTTTTAATGAGAAGAATTTTAGTTCTTGTTCCTTCCTCAGGAGCAGCATAACCCCAGAGATGCAGATGATCGTTTGACCTCCGAAAGGTCACAGAGACCTGGCCTTTCCTAGAATGAGGCTCTCTGTAATGATTGGAAATTGAATGACTGTAGTTGGCATTAGTTACATTATATTTTCATTTGTATTGTTTTTCACCTTGGTAGATTTGCTTCTGCCTTTAATTCTATGTTAGTTGCGCAGATTTGCAGTTTATGGTTGAGCAACCATGTACATTGATTAAATGCATAAAGAAACAAACAAATTATTAAATCCAGAATGTTCAATTCTTACTGCATGCTTGTTTCTGTTCTTGTAGCTTGTCACTGATATTATATTATAAAACATTGCATAGCAAACAGGATTTAGGAATTGAATGTAGGAAGCATGGAGAGTGAGGAGTTATATTTATAAGATAGGCTGCAGTGAAACTAACTATGTTAAATGAGACTACAGTACTTGTATAAATGGGAGACCTGTAGGGTGCAAAGCCTATAATTGCATTTAGTTGAATTAAGTTGCAATTACCCTGCAGCACCTTTTTGGACAGCCATGAAAAGGTTAAAGCTTGATATCCCCTTAATGCTGCCCTTTTTCAAGTGCTTGGAGAACATTAGCATGTATCATTGCACCAAGATTACTTCTGCATTATTCTTCACTAATACAGACATGAATTGTTAATAGTATGTTACTGTCTACTACCATCTTACTAGCAAGACAGTACAAAACATGCATTCAAATCATGAAATCCTGATGTCACCATTTATGAACTATATATAGGATGTTATGTAACTTTACTAATGTAGGAGCATGTGCTGAGGTGGTGCCACATTAATTTAGAAAGACAATATCCAATTTCTAGGATTTTTTTGCCACCTGGGAGAAAGTCAGGCTACATGCACACCTATAGCAAAATTCGTATAAGCTGTGACCTTGTACATTCTCCGTTATTAAGCACAACTCACCAGTCAAAATCTGCTTCTGTGCAGACACATGGCTCAGAGGACATGGCTCCAGCGTACTTGCCTTGCATGCATTTCTTTTCCGACTTACGCTTCTTGTAAGTCCTTTTGGCTCCCATGATGCATGCTTCTCCCTGAATAAAGAAAAGAGATGAAGGCTTTTACCATAGTGATCAGGTGTATTTTTGCAAATTACAAATGTAAACAATTATCATATACTAATGCAAAAAGAAACAGTGGAGACCATTCATATTTTTCTACAGTGAGAACAAAGTCACCACATATTCAGTGGCACAAAGACCACAGTGGTAGGCCTATATTGGCAAATAAATGTGTGTGTAGATAATCCTCAACCTAAGACCACAAGTGGGATGAGAACTTTCATTCTTAATCAAGGTGGTTGTTAAGTGAGTTCTGCCCAATTTTACAATCTTTTTTTTGCCCCAGTGATGCTAATCACTGCAGTTGTTAAGTGAACCACACAGTTGTTAAATGAGTGATGGCTTTCCCCATTGACTTTGCTTATTGGAAGCTGCTGGTGAGATTGCAAATGTTGATCATGTGACCTCAGAATGCTGCAACCCTCATAAATACATGCTGATTTCCAAGCACCCAAATTTTGATTCCTATCACTGTGCAGACACTGCAGTGGTCGTAAGTGCAAGGATCCACTGTAAGTTACTTTTCTCAGAGCAATTATAATTTCGAACGGTTGATAAATGAATGGTTGCAAGTCAAGGGCTACCTACTATATATGTATGGCAATGAGCAAAAAGTATAAGCCTGGATTTATTCTTTTCCCATTCCCACATCAGATGAAAAAAAAAACTTCAACCCACCTACTCCCTGGAATGAGACCCCCTGGAATAAAACACAGCACATATAGTATAGAAGCCAGGTTTTAGTAATTTGACCAAAATTCTATTAAATAAAAAGTAAGTAACTTTTTTTTTAAAGGCAGCCTCAATTTTTCAAGAGATGGCCGGGAGCTTTCTAATGTCAAACAGTCATGAATGAGTCCACCCTGACTTCAAGCTCCAAGCTCAATATGCTATCTAAACTACTTGTCCTCACCTGGTTATAAAGCTCCCAGCCATCTCTTCTAAAATTGAGGCTGCCTTGAAAAGAAAAGCAAAGTGAGTTGATAGGGCCTAGAAATCCTATACTCTTGTAAAGTTATGACACCTAGCTGTGATTAGGCTTTCCAAGTCTGAGAATAGCTTCCCTTTAATATCCTTTTGTATTGGTTGGTTGTAGTAGTTAGTAGTAGTAGTAGTTCTGTCCATAACACAGATTTTTTTAAAAATGTTCAGTAGCAGCCTCATTGCAGGGCCTATGAATGTTGCCTGTCTCAGCCAGCTGAACTTGAGAAAACAACCATGTAGATTCCCAAACAAGGAGAATTAAGAACTGGCAACAATCAAATTAACATTGAACTGATTCTTGCCTTTAATGCCATTAACTAGGGTCTAGTGTAACAGTGTGACTAGATTAAATTATTTTGAAGTTGAAGATTATTTGGTTTGTAAGGATGGCAAATGACATAGAGAAACTGGGACACTGGGCACATTTTTTTGGAAAGTGAACTATTCTAAGACTGCACATTTTAAAGAGAGGAAGATATTGTTTTCTGTCCAGAAACTGAACTGAACATGGCAGAGATAGCTTTTTTTTGCCTGGCCTTGGGACCAGCCCTGTTTCTATTTCTGTACCTCCTTGTCTTTTAAAATAGGTGGGGAGAAATTCACCATTCAGTTCAAAACAATGAAGTGCGAACCATTTTCTTCTCCAATTTGTTTCAAGTTTTACCTTTCACATAAATGCTTGCTAGTTGCAGTTAGAATGTATATCAAAGTGTTAAGGGGTGATGGATTCAATGATTTTGAAGCAATAAATTAGGTTGATCTCAACTTTTAATTAATTACTATATTAATTTTAATTCAATTCTAGGTCAGACTTTTTACCTGGCTGTGAAGCTGCCAAGGTCGGTAATCGTCATCCACACACCGTCTATCAAAAATGGACTTGTAATCCACTTTTACCAACTGCCACTCAGAACGATGGCTGAAGTGTCCAAAAACGCTAAATAAAAACATTGAATGATTATAATAGTAGGAGACGATTATTTTAACAGATCAGCAAAATGAAATGAATATAATTCTATACATATCCCCTTTTTTGGCCCATAATAAAAAGGGGCTTATCTGGCGTATACAGGAAATCATAAACAAGCTTCTAATCTCTCTTTAGTGATATATTCCAGTTATAATAACAGCTTTCAACAATATTTTAAGTTACAGATTTAATTATGAGCATAAGTGGCTAGTATATAGAGAGTGGGATTTATGGGGAGGGAGGGAGGAAAGAAGGATGGAAGCTTACAAACCAAAATACTCATATTATTTACTTATTTATTCATTAATTTACAATATTTATAAATTGCTGATTTCCACTATTATTGAAGAAGATGGTGTTTATTCTATTGGAACTGGCTGCATGAATTTGAACAAATTAAAACTCCAGTAATCAAATATTAAATATATAGCAATAATCAAAGCAGTGTAACTTTTCTTACACATAAACACCCACCCACACATACCCATGCACAAAGCTATTTATTAACAGGAATTAGTGGATAAACGTTCTGCTACATAGTACTTAATGAAAAATTAAGCATTATGTTATGTACCGTAAATCAACTACAATCTGCTTTGGTGCTTCAACTCACAGATGCAAATTGCTCTACTTCAATATGGTTAAAGTTCAAGACAGGAGAGAATTGCTGAAATTGGCTATTTTATTTTACAGACAGGGCTTATGTGCATGCACTCCTCAATACATGGCAAAGCAGTGAAGTACATCTGACGTGCTCTGCTGATGAGCAGAAAGGCAAGCCCCTTTCCTTCTTTAGATGTTCATATCCAAAGGTGTCCTTTGCTTGAATCTCCACCCAAAAATCCCCATCATTTTGAGGATTTGCAAAAAGCCACTGAAAGAGTGCACTAGAATCATATTGAAGTAATCAGTGTAACACTCCATATTCTATTTATATTCCCAGATTACAAATGATATTTCATCTATTATATTGTCTATATTTAACAATAATAGAATGGATCCTGTTAGTGTTATTTCATGTGAGATACTACCTGTTTAATAATTCCAGAGGAGCTGAGGAACCCAGAGTGGAGTGGAGCCCATTAAATGGCTGGTGTGAATGTGTGTATTTATTTATAAAAATAAATAACATCTACTCACGTCATTATTAAAGTCTCTTCTCCAGGCTCTCCCAAAACCCCATCAACAAACAGCGGGATGGAGGTGAAACTGTACTTGCTCCAAGATCTTCCCTCATCAAAACTTAACCTGGCAATAACAAGACAAAACAAAACAATAAGACACAGAAGAAACAAAAATAATCTCTTTTTATATTATAAATAGTTTTTCATAACAGATTACAGAAAACTGTAATGTTCCTAGCATTACAGTAAAAAAATAATAAAGAAAAGCTATTTTAAGGACACACAATTTCCCGAACAACTATAAATTTCTGTGTTATTTTGTATTAAGTTCACATATAATGGTATGTATTTTTGTTCAGAAAAAGAAAATGTAGTTAGTCCTCAAATTACAACAGTTTATTTAGTGACAATTCGAAGTTACAACGGCACTGAGAATGTGACTTATGACTGTTTTTCACAGTTATGACCTTTGTAGCATCTCCATGATCAGGTGACCAAAATTCAGATGCTTGGTAACTGGTTTCATATTTATGACCATTGTTATGTCCCAAAGTCATGAGATCATAGTTTGGGACCTACTAATAAGCAAAGTCAATGAGGAAGCCAAATTCAACTGGCTTGTTAACTTATCAACTGTCGGAATTCACTTAACAACTGTGGCAATAAAGGTCGTAAAATGGGGCAAAACTGACTTAACAAATGTCTTACTTAACAACAGAAATTTTGGGCTCATTTGTGGTTGTATGTCAAGGACTATCTGTATTATAATGTTAAAGCCCAGTACATATTGTTGTTTAATGGAAGAAATAATTGATTACAGGTAAATGGAAAAAGCTAAATAAAAGTAATCTAATATTACTCTTATATATTGAATGCATATTAAGCATAATTTCCCTAATTTGGAAAGATTAAGAATAAAGCTATCATTATGAACATTTTAAAAATAGAACATCAAAAAAAGGCATTTAAAATATAGGACACCAAAAGACATAACAATTATCATAAAATGGCACAATCTTAGGAATGATTGGAAGTGGATAAGGCAAGGTTCTGGCTATTGAATTACAGCTCCCGATATCCTTTATGATATGGCTTTGGAGAACTAATGGGCTCTTCTGTATTGAATTTGCACTTTTTTGTTACATTTGTCCTCGGTTACTACTTTAAAAAAAAAAGATTTTGTTTTTACTCAACATGAATATTTACACCCTGTTCCTTCTGGAGTCTCTTATTGCATTTTCTTTTCTTATTCTTCTATTTCAATAGAGTTTAACCTTCAATGTTATTTACATCTTTTTAAATTGCAGCTAAATTTCCTAAGCTTCAGTTTGAACAAAATGCAATGCAACTTCTTAATACTAATTTAGATTATACTATTGACCTGCAAGTGTTTTGTTTGTCAAAAATTGTATGTACAAAATGCAGATATAGTTTTATTGGGATGAAAAGAGGCAGCATGCTCATTTGTTTAATTGGCATATCCTGGCACTTAGTAAAAAAGGTTGGTCGCAATCCAACTACTAATGGCATATAATACACACTGAAGGACTCTATGATGAATAGAATTAGAAAAGTCACATTAATTACCAGAGATGTCTGATAGGCAGAGATGTATGTTTCATAGCAACCAAAACCCCACCTTGGTCCAGATAAAGGACGCTGTGTTCATCTTCAAAGATCTAGTGAGACACATAAAAAGATACATGAAATCCTTTGTATGTAGAACCAAGGACTGGCAGGTTTCTTTTGTAATAAATAAGTATATAAACATTTAATACTATTAATGTTATAAATTATATTCTTAGGAATAAGAATGATCACGATTTTATTTCATTGTTTAGAAAAAAAGAGGAAGGAAGGAAGGAAGGAAGGAAGAAGCTTGGTTATCTGCAGAATGAAAGTCTTAATCTATATAACTGTATATAACTGAGACTATCAGGTAATATGATGCCTGAATAGGATTAATAATAACAATTTATTCAAAAGAAAGGCTTACAGTTATTGAGCAATGACACTAATCATTATTAATTCTTTTTTTACTAATTATTTAGTTGTGCCTTATCTGTAGCTTTCCAAGCCAAACACAAAAAAGTAATTATAAATGCATACATTTTTCATGTATTGCAGCATATAAACTTTTTTAGATGAAAATTTTAGGTACATAAAAAAATGTTCGAAATTCCAACATTGTATACTTTGCTAACTGTAGCTCTAATAAGTATTTGTTTGACTAGAAATGTGGGATATCAATTAAATGAATACATTCTGCAGATTTAACAACCACAAAAATAGAATGGGAAGACAGTCCATTCCTTTTGGAAAACAAATCAGTTCCTCTGAGAAGTGATGATTCAGAGAATAGATGAACTAGACCCTCAAATGTCCAAGTCTTGCCCAAGAAGTGAAGGGTTTCATCACATTCCTAGAAAGCAAGTCTTGCTCTACATTTGGAAGCATAAAACCCATCTATTTCTGATTAATTTAGAGCAACCTACTCAGAGTGACAAATGCCTTGTTTACTTTTAGATTAGATGACTGCAATCTGTGTAACTTTGAGTGTGCTTGCAAACCTCAATTAGTGAACAACACATCATCACAAATACTTTTCTCCAGACTAATCTAAAATTGAAGTGTGCTATCTATCATTTTTGGGGAACCAGTTCTTGCTGGTTTGTTTTAAAGCCCTGAAAACTTAAGAAACATTGTGTCTCCTCTTCTTGCAGAATAGTCAGTTTGAGGACATGTTTTCTATTCCATCACCAAAAGAAGTTTGGTAGGAATGTTGGATGCTCCTAAAATAAATCTTGTTAGATATCAATCCAATTTTGTGCAAGACCATATTTTTTTAGATATACTACATACTTTTAATTGGTACCACATTTGCATTTATATTTAGAGACCTATAGCAGGACTCCCAATGTTTTATGTCTAAGAGGTTCAATATGTATTAACAGAGCACTTACACTTTGCTTTGTTAATTCTCTTAAGTATGTACTTGATTTCAGTTTATGAGGTGGTAATTGCATATTAATTAAATGCCAAGTACTTGCTAAAATGTATTCAGTGATATACAAGAGTCATGCATATTGTTGTCCATATTATTATTTGATTGCTAGAGCTCTTTAAATGCTTATACTTAGTTAATGGATATGGAGTTAATTTGAGAAGTAGGAAAGCAAGGGGAAAACAAAACATTTTATTTAGTAATTCTCATTCTTACTTTTGTGTAAGCGATTGTAGTTATACCCATGTCAGAGGATGTAAATATAGGCCATTCTGACAGCTAATCTACCTAAAACACATCTAAACCTTTAAGACTTGAGCCAAAGTAATGTTCTTATGTATTGGTTTAATTGTTGTTTATTTCTTGTTAAAATAAAAGGTTCACTAAAGATGAGAAGGCATTCCTGGCAGTTAGAATTGTTTATGTCTAGTTGTATTTTGCTACTTATGGAGGATTAAAGTCAACAGCTTTTCATATAACATGGCTTTTCAAAAACTTATCCCCAGTTTGCAGAGCATGTATATGGAATTTTAGATTTTGAGACAATAATTAAAGTTATAAAAATCAACAGACATTTACTCCATTTAACTATATTTAACAATATTTAATGAGCCACCCATTGAAATAAAGCATGCTGATGGGGAATTCTAACTGAATGAATATCTCCATTGTCTTTCTAGCATCCATCAGCTTTCTTTCTCTTAATCACAGAGATGTTTTCCATTGGACTGCCTTTATCTCTGCTTCTCTCATACATCTAACCTCCCAGCAATTACTGTCCCAGAATAGAGACGTGAACAACGTTTCTTCAATTCCCCTTTCTCATTCCACATACATTTACTAGAAAGCCGCCTTCATCTTTTTGTTCATCAGATCAAAGATATGAAGTTCTCTCTATCTGGGATCACCTACATAACTCCTTCAGATTTACTTTCTATAATTATTTATCCTTTCAGCCTCAAGACCCAGGCTCAAGATTCCTGAGGCTGTAGGACTCTCCTTGGAGGTTTTCCTGGGTAAGGCGCTAGTTTTACTCCTCCCCGCATTTTAAGCTATATTACACATTTGTTTTCTGTAGCCAATGGAAAGGGGTTTAGTTACATATCCACCCATCCCCACTCTCCAACCCCATTTTTCTGTCACCAGACATTTTTTAGCAGCAAGATAATCTCCTCCTTGTTCCTTGAGATTTTGAGTTTTGGGTGCCTGGGTGAAATATGGGAAGGAGAAAGCACATATCTGAGTGAATCAGGCTCATTCATTCATTACAACATCTTTTTTCAAAGGTTTTGTAACCAGGGAATTAAGTTAGCATAACTTTATAAATGAGAATGCACAATAGCATGTAAATGATGAACCACATTTTTCTTGCCATAAAATAATGAGAGTAGGATTAAACAAAAGGGAAAAGAAAGACAATGAATTAAAATAACTACTGAGGTGCCATAGTACTGCTAAAGAATATCATACAGGATGAAAATATGTGAGTCTTCCATTAATATATAATATCTATAATGGTAACGTTTATAATTATACAAAAAAGGGACAGATGCCCTAAACTGAGATTCTAGTTTGGTCTTCTTACATACAGGAAGAGTGATCATTTAAAATCTTACTTGTCAGACCTTTTTGCACAGATTCCCCTTGGAAGTAAAAAGTAATTAAGATAGGCTGCCACTAGTCAGACCGAATCCTAGGCTCTTCCTTCAGCCTATCTCTTAAAGCATAAAAAGGAAGATGCTTTGAAAATAATAGAGAAATTAATAAATTTTGTGCTAGCTCAAGAGGTAACTATGAAGGGATGCTCTCTCTTTTTAAGCGAATAATGTAAGCAAAACATTAATTATATAAACAGATCTATCAAAAAAAGGAAATACATGAAAACAATGGAAGGAAATCTTGAAGCACACAAAATTCCAACTAAATAAAATCATCATAGGTATATTAGTTATTTACTAACTTTTGGCCCAAAACCAACACATGCTCAAAGTTCACTGCAGAGAGAATGGCTGGGGGAAAAATTATCTGCTCCCAGGCCACATTATCCTCAGTTTTATGAGGACTGGAATGTGGAGGATAACAGAAAATTAGCCTCTTTATGGAGATTAACAGTTGCTTTGCCCAATCAAGCAAAATGCTCCAATAAACTGCTCCTGGAAGTATTTCACACCACTCTCCCCCGCAGTTGACCACTTAATGTTTTCATTGCTACTCACTTGTCGCCAAGTGTTTCCAGCATCAGACGAAACAAACATGCTGATATCATTTTCTGACAGCTCTGATCCAATGTTACCTGTAAAGAAAAGTACCCCAATCTGTAAAACTTAAATGTAAAACAAAACTGAAATCTTTGTGCTATTAGTAATATATATTGTGTCGAACAGTGATGACTTAAGGATGCAATTTATTATAAAACAGAAATGTACATATGTATGTATGTTTGTGTGTGTGTGTGTATAAAATTTCATATATATTACTTAGTTAAGCACATTGCAATTCTTGCACCAATCTTACAAAATGAGGATAGGTTCATGGCAAGACTCAATTTCATAGCCAATAGCCAGCAGCCAGCAAGAAAGGGTATCAAAAAACAAATATTTCCCACCTCTTTTGTTATGTTTTGTTAAATCAATTTTGTTATCTTCCTTGTTTTGCTGACAGAAGATGTGGCACATTGATTTGACTCAGGCCAAACTTCTTCATGGGAAAAAAAATGAAATTTGAAATAGATCTATTACTATTACTTTGTGTCACCTTTGAACCACAAGTTGAAAATTAGAACTTTTATGTTCCACTTAAATAGCAATAAGAAATTGTAGACTTTTGTTATATAGCACTGGAAGATTTCTTACCAGAGGCCACAATGATTCCTGGAGCTGTATCACGACTGGCAATATTACCAGAAGTGTAAGGATTCTCTGAAACCTTCAGGTGGAGATGAAGGGAGCAATATGGCTTGGAAGAAAACAAACAAGGAGATGCTAATCAGTACTGGAGAGAGCATAGCATAGCATAGCATAGCATAGCATAGCATAGCATAGCATAGCATTGCATAGCATAGCATAAACCTTGGGAAAGAATCCACAATCCATAACATTCAAAAGCATGAGCACCAGATGTTAGTTACAATATAGGACCACTTTCCCTTCCTCTTCACATATGTCTATGGCCTTTGTTAGTCTATTTGGTTCCAACTTCTGAAATGTACTATAATGTGATAACAGATGGATCAAAAGTAACATTTTTGTTAAAACAGATTTCTTCAACTTAGCTTTAGTTAAAATCGGGAAATCACAATTCTTTATCTTATTACTGCTTTAAGGATTTATCTACTGTGTGCATGAGAAGGAATTTGAAAAGAAGCATACTTGTGCCAACTAGTTGTTGGCAGAAAAATATTGCTTAGTTTATCAGAATACCTTTCCTTCCCATTAATTTTATCTTCACACAAACCACATATGACACTTGAAATGAGGTTTGAAGAAAATGCTAAGTTTTTGATGGGATTTTTTTTTTAAAAAAAAGACAGAAGTAGGCGAAGAAGGCTAAATAAGGAGCCTCCAGCAGAGAGAATGGAATTGAACATGAAAGTGAAGAGATGATTTAGGATGAAACTGAAGTGATGGAATGCTAGCAGGAGTTTTTAGATATCTGTACTTGGATGACAGTAATATATCAAGACCAGAATTCAAATGAATGTTCTAAGTGTTAATGTTCAAGAAAATGAATGATGAAAAGGAAGTCACAAAAGCTGTGAAAATGTTAAAAATGGCAAGGCTGCTGTAAGTATAGAAACGTTACAGCATGGATATGCTGCAAATACAGACATATTACAATATGTGGTTTCTTTGTAGAGTGGTTATGTGGCTTGTTTAATGAGATAAAGACAGCATCTATGCCTAATGCTTGGAGTACGAATGTATTTTTCTCCTCTATAGGTATGTGAGGTAGTTTATAGCAAAATGTGGAAAGTGCAGTGTAGTTTTATGTCAAGCAGAGGATGTACAGACCAGATCTTTCTTCTTTAGAAGGGTATTAAGGAGTGTATGACTGTGCGAGATAAAGCTTATTGTGCATTGCTTATGATAAGTAAAGTGGCTTGAATTAGAAAATGTTTTCTATGAGCATGGAGTTGAAAGTTCCTGAATGCAATCGGAATGGTATAAGATGAAAGTAAAGCCCACATTAGAATGGAATGCATAGTAAATAATTCAATTTAGAGCTAGGATTATGGTAAATCCCACTGATTGTCAAATGAATAAGGATTGTTTGGGTGTCATTACACATAATTGATCAGGAAATGAATGTGCATGAAGATTTCTATGGAGGTGATACCATGTTATTGGCTGAAAAGCTGATCATTTTCAATGCATGTCAGACTACATAATGAAGTGATGAATACGGACCTAAAAATTAATAAATAAAAAAACAAGAGATAGCTGTGTTTCAGCTTAAAAGAATAAACTGAACTTTATATCTGAATGGTGGAAAATTAGAGGAAATAGATTAATGTCATCTATTTTCATAGCATGTTTACTAAAGATAGTGAAATTGAGAAATGTTAATGTGCAATTGATAATACAAAGATATTACCGTAGATAATATATTGTCTGTTTCAAGGAATGAAAGAAACAAAGAGCAATGGAAACAGAGTAAATAATAAGTGAAATAAAACAAGGAGACACAGGTGAATATGCTGAATGAATGTCAGCTGAATAAAAAAGTGAATGACCAATATTAGCACATTAAATAGTTGAGTTATATGGAGAGATTTCAGGAGGACTGAATAGCAAAAGAAATATATGAAGATCAATTGGTTAAGAGGAAGGGGAAAAGTGAGAAAATGTAGTTGTAGGAATGAGCACTTCCAAAACAAAAATTATAATAATAGATAATGTATAAGCTCAGTGGAAATAAAGTTAGATTGCAAAGGTAGAACAATGGGGAGTTTCAATATTATTTCTGTAAATTAGTTTTGGCTAATTTCTTATATTTTCTTATGTCATGGATTTTATTAGTTTAGCTTACTATTTCTCATTACACTTCTGCAGCTTTCATAATATTGCTTTCCCCAAGATAAATATTATAATAGGTATGCATATATGAATGTAGATTGAAAGCCAGTGTGCTTTATGGCTGAGATTTGGGACTCGGACCTTAACTTTCCAATTTATTCAAACAACATAATTTCATTTTCTCAAAAGTTGTTTTGGTTTTATTAAGTGATGGCAATAAGTCAAAATTTATAGTCCATTCCACTGAAAAGCATTGAAATAAGTTCAAGAGAGGAGAAAAACTGGTGTTATGTATAATTACTGACTCTACAGCAGTAGAGATCAACTTGACTTTGCATTTGATAACTGCAGCTAGATTGTTGGTGGCGCAATATTGGAAGAAATAAGATTTGTTTACTAGTTAGGAATGGATATTGAAGATCACAAACTTAGCAGAGACGGCTAAAATAGCTGCATATCTCAAGGGTAACTCAAATGAGAGATATAAACCAGACTGGGGAAAATGGACTGACTATATTCAAAATAAATATGGTCTAGGAAATTTCAGATA